CCTGTTGAGGTGATGGACCTATGGGTGGTCTTCAAGGGAGGTGCACGTGGTGCACCCTACTTCATCGAGCCCGGATAAAACGAGCACCTCTGGTAAATACATCCACACTCTGGCAGACTCACGTGGAGTCGTCGGAAGAGAGGATCACTGACGGTCCAGATCACGTTTTACGAGGACTCTGTCCGTGCTGGTACTGCAGTGAGGACGACATGTTATTGTGTAGGGCACCTCCACCTGAGATGAACCAAAAACTTCTGGTCCTTCAACTCCGCCGATTTAAATCCGACCAAATTCTTTATATGGAGCGTTTTTTGGTAGAAGTTTAATGAACAACTTATCATCAGTAAAAACGGTCTTCAGTGCAAGGTACGAAGCTGATGGGCGATCATGGACAAGCAGGAGGTTGCACGTGCATGCGCGTGCTTTTGGACCCGCCTTGAGAAGGTCATCGACGCGAAGGGCGGTCAAATAGGATGAGGGATAGGTAAAAGGTGACCGATTGATGGGATGTTGTTAAAATAGTGCTTGGAGCTATATTTTTAAATTCATGACCAAATAATCCCGTTTGATATTTATTCCCGATTATGCTGCCCCACCCTGTATTTGCTGCTCCATAGCTGCATGCTCGTACAGCAGAAGCAGCCAGCAACACCGCAGCAACAGCCAGAAAGTTCAAAATATTCAACTTCTCGGCGATCGAGAGCAACAGCTCGTCCATTGGTTATAATTATCGTGACGTCACGCTCAGCGACCGTCGGCGATCGTCGGATGTTGCCGACATATTGGGCAATTTTTGAACAACCCTGAATAGCATTTGGCAGCACTTCAGCAACCCAGAGCAACAGAAAAGGCTGTCGCCGAGCAACCGATTGCTGGGAGTTGCCGACGAGAGTTGCCCGTGTACAACGGGCTTTACTGTACCTTGAAAATGAGTGTCATGTTTACATTCGAAACGCGTCGGTAAAAATATACCTAATGACATCTCCCCTTAGATCTAATGCCTTGGATCTATTTTGCCTTCTCTTTCTAATGATCTTAAAAAAACAGTAAATAAGCTTATAAAGACACACAAGAAACTTGTCAAATGTGAAAACGCTATTTCATTTAACGGTCTTTGTTTGAAAGAATATGGCGCATCTGGATATTTTTTGAAAAAGGATACTTTAAAAAAAAAATATCCAGATGCGCCATTTTCGCTTTTTGTGGTGTCTAATGTAACTGTTCAATTTCATATGGATCTGTTTTAGTGTTTTGTACCAAGGCTGACGAAGAAAGCTGCATAGCTTTCGAAAGCTCCCATTAAATAAAGTACCTAATAGCTGGTGTTCAATTATGTCTTCTATAACTATGTTTTGAACACTGCTATACTGAATGGATATTGTTGTTATGCTTTAGGGCGAGAAATATCAACGTAGTGACGCACAGTGTTCTACTATTTGTCAAAAAGGGTCAAAAATTTGGAGAAAAAGTATTAATGATTTATTTTTAGATTGGGCAAAAAAGTAAGAAATAAAATGACGATCAAAATGACAAAAAATGCGTCTGATTAACCCGGCAGTTTGCTGGGCCCTGGGGTATTTCCCCACCCGCCGTTTGCCGGGGGGAGGCGTTCAACGCCCCCAGCCGATAACTCGAGAACCAATAGGCGCAGCGAAACGCACGAGGCGGCAAACGAAAGAACACGACGAGACAATTCAGATGAATACTTGAAAGTTGAATTTCGAGATCACCGTTCGGGTCAAGGTCAGGTCAAACACTTGAAATCAGGCTTTCAGTAGCATGGACTTTAAAACCTCGCAATCGGTGCCTCTCGTCATAAACTCTGTCACAACTGTGCACAACCCTTCATATAAGTGCTAAAAGAGTGTCAGATCCATGTAGGGGTCAGTCAAACATAGGCCAGGGTCAAAGTCAAGTCAATCAGGTAAGCACATAACCCCGAAAATCAAAACTGGTACCTATTCGCAGCCCATGACACATGTTTTATGGGTACTTTTGGGCGTAGAACACGATGGTGACATTCATTTTATCATACGAGTACGTGGTTAGTTGAAAAAAGATCAATTTCAGAAATGCATGCATCATGGTCGTGAAGTAGTCACGAGAAATTGCCAAGATTCAGTTCAAGATTTTGGAAAATGTAGAACGATGATCAAAAATCATAGATAGCCATTGGGTTTGCCATGGTAGTGGCAGTGTAATGGCGTTTACAGCATGTCTGTATGTCTGTTCTGTCAGTGGATATCCATATCCATACTCCAGGATATTCATACACGTTTGCACGATATCCATACTCCAGGTGCAGGGGCGAGCAGTTACTTCTTACGAGGGGTGCGGAGTTGAAGTCAGAGTCGGAGTCAGAGTCGGAGTCGGAGTCAGAGTCGCCCAGAGTCGTGGCAACGAGCCAGGAGTCGGAGTCGGAGTCGGTGTCGGTCAGGAGCCCGTAGTGGAAGTCGGAGTCGGTCGGAATCGGAACAGCTCCATCACAACTCCGAAACACTGGCAGGGGTCCGGAGTCGGAGACGGAGTCGCCCGGAGTCATGGCAACGAGACAGGAGTCGGAGTCGGAGTCGGAACCGGATTTGGCGCCACCACGACTCCGCAACCCTGCTTCTTACCATCATTCATTAGGATAAGCCATTGCACGACTGACGAGCCGACCTGCTGCTAACGAAGCGACGGGTAGGTACGCCTCGGGAGATGAAGCTTCATGGACGAATTTGCGCACAAGTGCGCAGTTTGCTTTTAGGTTCCCCTCACGCAGAATTGAACAGAGATTTGTTCAGCCAAAAAGCTCAATGGAGGTCGATGGAGAACTTTTTGTATGTCCAATGAAACATAAACGTAATTTTGCAAATGTTGCTGTGGTGACACTGCAAACAGAATGCAATGCCGTTCCTGATTTTGAACAGGCATGGGAAAAAGAGTCACTCCACTCGATAGCCAACATAACAAGGATTATTTTGATATATAATAATCCAGTTTTACAACGTCATTGAGGTACTCCACATGCTACCACCAGCGCGGTTGTTTAAACCTCTGACGGCGCACCAAAAAAGCCACTATCAGAAACTCCCGATTCTACGTACGATAATGAACACTAAATGCGCAGCTAAATATTTTTTCTGCCCAATTGAAAACATTTAATCAATTTTCAACAGAATGACACCCCAAATATACATATATTCCGAAATTGCCCATGGCCATCCGTGAGGCCGTTTCCAACCATAGTGCGTCGGACCAAACCCAAGTCGCGCACTGTGGCAGGCTACCTAGGTGACAGGTCGCCGCGTCTCTCTTCTGTGTGGAAGTCGCATTCAGTGGTAGTGGTCCCACGTCCAGGCTGATGGTGACCCCGCTCTTCACTTCCCACGGGGGGCGCTCGCCTGCGATACTGGGTCGATAGGGGGGCCGACATGTATTCAGCTCGACGACACGGATCGACTGATATGCAACATGACCCTTTCCAGTCAGGTCATGACCTTGACCTGAGGTCAAATTTTCAAAATGACCTTTCAAGGTCAACAAATAGTTCATTCGAAGCGTCTCGACGAGAGGAACACGATGCTGCCAAAAGAAATGTCGTGGCTCTCTTGAGTCAAAAGTAATTGACGAAAAACCATTTTCGTGAAAACTGCTATTTTTACAGTTTTTGCCCTCTGGAGGCTAAACCATTGACCTGGGGTCAAATCTGAGAACAGTACTCAGAAAGGTCTGTAAAAGGGCTATCGTATGAGCTTTTTCGCAGCGCTGTAGCTCTATTGGTTCCCGAGGTAGCCGTTGGCAGTTTCCAAAATTGTTGAAATAGACAACATTTGACCTTTAATGACCTCTGGCGACCTGACCTTTGATCTGACCCAAAAAATGACCCAAGTTTTCGTCCTTATTTTTGACGCTCTTTCGAATGCCGCTTACCGCGTGTCGCTACGTGGCCCAGGAGCCGAGTTAGACGGGGGGTGTTCAGACCCCCCCCCCCCCCGGCCCGGCGCGGAAGTCGCGGAGCACCGGCCCGGCGCGGGTTAACTGTCTAAATGCGCCGTCATATTCTTTCTCATCAAAGGTTACATGCTTTTAAAATAAGTCTCCTTTTATGTATTTAAAAACGATTCGCGCTCTATTCAAGTTAGAAACTCTGCCGGCCTTTAGCTCCCATGCAGGCCTCTTGCCAGGTTCTAGACCCCAACGCCGGCCAGGCAGTTGAGGCCACTTTAGAGTCCCGAATGGGGCCCTCGAGATCGGCCTTACCCAAAACGTACCTATTCGTGGAATCCTTCAGAAATTGGCGTTGGGCACTCGGGAATCGGCAGGGGGCCTCGCCCCTCGGCCACCGGCATGGGGCCCCTTTGTATCGGCGTGAGGCCCTCGGATACCGACATGGCCCCCCCCCCCCCCGGATACCGGCGTGGGGTCCTCGGGAATCGGCATGGGGCCAAGGATATCACCGTAGGGCCCTAGGGAATCAGAGTGCGGCCCTCAGGCATCGACATGGCCCCTCAGCAAAAAAATTGCAAAAAAGATGCATAAGGTGTGCCGAAAACGGCCGCCGCCGGAGGGGGTGTTCAAACACCTCCCAGCAGGGCGCGGGTTAATAAAGTGTCGTTTTCAATGCTTCGTATCACTTGTCACCCGACTATCACTTGTCCCTCCAACTCCGACCCGTCACCCGGAGCTCGGAGTCGGAGTCGGAGTCGGAAAAGCGCTACCACGACTCCGAAACCCTGCTTATAAGGAGGTTGGATGGACCTCTTCTCCCTCGGTTTTTCGCGACGAGATCGGGAAAGCTGTCGATTGCGACAAAACTTACAATCATCTGAATTTTATAAATTTTACACCTACCATACAGTTACCAGCAAAAGTAACACTGCGTTGAAGGCTAAAAGTTGGGAACGTCTTCTTCGGGGGGGGGGGGGGGGCAAGTCATATAACACGCCATTTAGAGGGATACTAGTACAAGAGCGCGGCTCTGGGTCACCTAGTTGGCTAGTGGGGCACCTACACACCTCTACGCGCGCCTTGAAGACGGCCTTGTCCATGTCCTGGTCGGCAAGAGTTGTCGCCAGAAGCAGCAGCAGCAGCAGCACCGGAGCCGGCATCCTTCAGAAAACTATCTGCGGGAAGACCAGGACCGTCACGGCATTTGCGATACGCAGCACCAAACTCAAATCACAAGCCGTTTGGTCAAACATTGATACGCACCCCGCTGGGGGTCCCGGATTTCCAAGGCCTGCTGGGGGTGTTTGAACACCCCCCTCTAACTCGCTCCTAGGTCACTTAACGGTAAGCGGTATTCGAAAGAACGTCCAAAATAAAGACGAACGAAAACACTTCGGCCATTTTCTAGGTCAGGCCGAAGGTCAGGTCACCAGAGGTCATCAAAAGCAAAATGTTGCCTATTTCAGCATTTCTCGAAACACCGCCACATGTCTCGGCAACCAATAGAGTAACAGCGCCGCAGAAAAAAAACTAAAAATAACCGTTTTTACGAGAAAAAACTTTTGTTTGCAAATACCAAGGAAAAACGTCTGTTAACAAGAAATAATTACCAACATTTGAGGTTTGGATTTCACGAAACCTCCGAGCATGAATTTTGAGTTAACAATTTACAAACTATTTTACAAGAAAAAAGTTTGTACGAAACATCGAAATCCCAAATTTTCTGTTCCGCGAAGACCAAAAACTTGAAAGAAAACATGGTACTTAGAAACCCGAAATTCCAGTGGCCCTTACGCTCGGAAATTTGCTACTTTTTGTGCAATAATCCACATCAATCAATTATCTAAAACAAATATGCTATGCTGAGTCATTTTATGCTCTTTTTTTCTTAGCACAATCCCTACAGCTGTGTATGAAGCAGCTACCAGGGATTTAAGTTTATATATATATATATATATATATATATATATATATATATATATATATATATATATATATATATATATATATATATAAGTGTAGCCATGACAACGCCTATGTTTGTATGTTTACTGTACCTCATCATTCATTACTGCATTGTTTTGTTTGTTGAAGCAATGGATACGATCGAACATGTTTAATTTCTTGAAAATGGAATAGGAATTATTCCGAAACGTTGAAAGTGACCAATACAGATAATGTAGTGAATGTCGAACTTCTCGACTTTGATATTTTCTTTACCTGATGCGACAAAACGAACATTACGATCAATCGAACAGAACAACAAGAAGATAACGAAATGCAAATATGCCTTGGTCTTTAACCAAACGTGTATTAAAGAAAATATATTGCCAAAATACACAAATATATATATATATATATATATATATATATATATATATATATATATATATATATATATATATATATATATATATATATATATATATATATATATATATATATATATATATATATAAGTTTATATACAGGGTGACACGAAAAAACGGTCATCACCAAATTTCGAATAACTTCGGAAGTTTTATTCAGATCATCACCAAACTTCGGCAACTTAAGGTCACACCTATGTAGCATACATCCACCAAGTTTCAAGTCTTCACTACGAATACTTTTAGTACAGTGTGTGTTTTACTGACGCTCCACAATGTGCTCCAGGTGTGCGCCACGGCGCTGCAGGGCGTAGGCACACTTGCATCCGGCGGGCAAAGTTGTCGATAACCCGATGGCTGTGCACTTTACAGAGTGCAATGGCCTCTGGAGACAGTGCTCAGGGGGTGTGCTACCCCTGAAACGTTATTCTTATCGGGTTATCGGCAACTTTGCCCGCCGGATGCAGGTGTGTCCACGCCTTGCAGCGCCGGGGCGCTCACCTGGAGCACATTGTGGAGCGTCCGTAAAACACACACTGTACTAAAAGTATTCGTAGTGAAGACTTGAAACTTAATGGATGTCTGCTACATAGGTGTGACCTAAAGTGGCCGAAGTTTGGTGATGATCTGAATAAAACTTCCGAAGTTATTCGAATTTTGGTGATGACCGCTTCTCTGTGTCACCCTATATATATATACAGGGTGTCCCATAAGTTCGTTCTCACCTAAATTTTACGTTTTTAGGCTTTCTTGCTTAAAGGCACGCTGAAATTGGTTCGTAACTGAGCTTGCATGGTTGCCATGGCTGGTAGAAATATGCTCCACAGTAGCTAATTTCTGTAGACAAAATAGTTTTTGCTAGAGAGCCCGCTTCCTACAGAGACGGCTAACGCCGCAACATAGAGGTCTCCGATACGGGTACGTCTCAGTATTTAGTCAGCACGTGACCATTCGCGACGATTGAGGGTGATTGAGGCCTACCAGTCGGTAGCCAATATCCATCGCTAACTGGACGCACAGTCAGCAAGTGACGCCGATGATTTGTTGGGAGTCAATAACTGCAAGTTTATCCTCTTTCTAGCCAGCCCTCAGGAATGAGCCAAGTGGCCAAAACTGTGTGGCGCCAAAGTGGCCATCAAAAAGGTCAAAGGGTTAGAAAGTTGGTAAACAGACTTTTCAGGATGGATTACCAGCTGTCTAAGAGTGTTCTTTCGGGGTACATAACTCAAGGTGACTTAAGCTTTGCTTACCGGAGGGCTCAAAACAGTCAAAAACGTCTTAAAATGGCCAAACATGAGTTTCGTTATGCCTGAGGCTAAACAAAACTAGAGGGCTGATGACATCAACCAGGTCATCTGGACTAACTAGTCCACGTTCGAGATGAAACACCCGTCCAAACCCGAAAACAACCCCATAAGGGCGAAGGAGGAGGCCTTCATTTCGTCCCGTTATGTTCCTATGCAAAAGGCCAGGGTCACTGTGTTGTGGGGTTATAGGCGTTCTGGAGTTGATCAAGTTACAAGTGGCAACCCGGAAACAGTTTTGGGAAGCAGAATGCTTTTCCAAGAACATCTAGGAGGAATTTCAGCCCTCAAGCTGAACTCGAACCGCGAGTATGAACACATTTATAGAGGAGAAAATGGCATCCGGGAGGTCGTAGGCCCATCTTCAGGCAAGACAGTGCATCAGTGCACAGGTCAAGCAAAGCTTAAAAGCGGTGCAAGGAGACTGTGACAGGTGTTTGTGGCAAGATCACATGCCAGGCACCTCATCGGATCAAAATTTCATAAAAATTTGTTGGTTATGCTGAAGTTGAGGCTCATTGAAGCGTAGCGCTGTTCCAGCCTCGAGGAGCTCACGGCGCATGTCAAGTCAGTCTGGGTTAACTTTAAGCCTGCTATGCAGCCAAACATGCCGGTTGGCATGCCGCAGCATGTATTCATGTGTTTGCCTATTAAATGGGGAGCACATTGAGGGGTCATAAATATACCAAACCGCAATGTACTCTGTTTCACATGCAAACATAATGTGAGAACGAACTTATGGGACACCCTGTATATATATATATATATATATATATATATATATATATATATATATATATATATATATATATATATATATATATGTAGCGGGCTACATCTTTTCTATTAGTTTACTATTAGCTGTAAACTTTAAATCCTGGCACGACCGACTACTGCCCGATCCGGACACGCTGGCCGCGTTCCGTAGAGACCCTTTCCTTTGTTTTCCCGTGTCCCACGTCCCTATCGACACCGGCCGCCCATAATTTAGAAAGGACAGCAGCACAGAGCGAGGTAACGCGGAAGAAAGAGACGCGGAGACCAAGCGGGTCACCGTTCGTTACGGACGTCGTCACCTGAGGGCAGCACCAACCGGAAGGGAATATGATAAAGCCATGCAAGAATGCAGTTATGCAAAAAAAATCGACTCAATACTGGACGTTGCACAAAGCTGCAATTCAGATCAACTTGATCACCAAGCAATCCGAAAGTCGCAATAGTTTTATCGCCTGACCCCACCATATAGCATTCCAGCAACGACCAGTGCAGCAAGGACGTTTTTGGAATATAGACTGTCTAAATGATATCCAGAGGAAGTCATTGCGCTAGCAGCTCATGAGCTCGGAAAGCAAGTCCTTGTGGCGGAGGAGCATCTGAACAAGAGGTACAGCACCTAGAGTACGAGTGAGTGAGCAAGTGTAACGGAAACTAGAGACAACATTACAAAGGATAAATGGTTGCGGGCTGCCTACTGTAAACAAGCATTTCGATTTCAAGCCGCTTTATCAGAAACAAGCGCAGATCAACAATAACGGGCATCGTTCGCCGTTGAAGACTGGAACCGAAGAATTGTGCCATCTAATGCCTATTCAAATGCTTTCACACATTTTGGAAAGGCCGTTGCAAATGCAAAACCGAGCACGCCCTCAAACCACCGCAGTAAGAAGACAAAGAAGTGCACCTGAATCGGAGCCAGCACCCGGAACCAGGTCAGGAGAGGGCGACGCCACCCCGACCCAACTATAAAAAAGGGACCGCTTTACTTCGAGATCAGTTAGACCGGAGCAGTCAGACCGAGACAGTGAGACCGGGACGGGAGGACCGAGTCAGTGGGACCGCCGCAGTCGCGTCGGGATCACCGCGCCCGAGAAGCCATGCCGCCGGGAGACGGGCCAGTTCAGCCGCATCGCTGCAATCGTCCTGCTCCAGTTCTCTGCTAGTGCTTCGAGTGATGGAGACGCAGGACAGCAGCCGTCGACGAGAAAGGACGCAAGTGCAACTGCCGAGGTTGACGTCACACTCCAGCTGCTAATGTGAGTGTTCAATCTGAATGTTCGAAAGTCTGCTCTCCCTGATCCTATCTCCCCCCCCCCCCTGGTTCACGCCTTGCCCGATCTCTCCAATGATCGTTGTCAAGCTAATAGCAAATTGCTTTGATTTATACGGTCGGTCCAGACAATTCTAGTTGTGGTCTCCACTCTCCGCGATCGCCAGAAATCATTGGTGCAAAGCTGTATTGCGGTTTTGTTCTTGGGGTCTTACTACCGGATAAGCTGCGTTATAGGTGATCGAGATTTAGCTGAAAATTCACGAGTGCGTACATGTCATTGTTAGGATCTCCAGCTTACCATTTGCAGACTAGGATTACAATGGGATTCTCAGTGTGTTTATGTTCAACAGTGACGTTCAGTTGGGTTTGTGAGAGTTCAGGGCGTGGTTTCAGTCTCTTTTACAGTGATGTGAGCTGGTATTGCTGCGCCACATAGCGGGTTAATAATGAAG